TGTGGGTGTTAAACATGTGGGTGCACATGCCATGACACTCATGTAGAGGATGTGTGTGGATGTTATACATGTGGGTGCACATGCCATGGCACTCATGTAGAGGACAGATGACAGTCTGCAACAGTCAGTTCTCTCTTTCTACCATATGAATTCCAAGGATTACACTTGAGTCCTCAGACCAGGCAACAGGTGTTGTTTCCCACTAGCCCATCTTCCTAGCCCCTAAAATTGAGGACTACTATGCTGGAAAAAGACAAATAACAAAAACAGAATTCAAAGCTTCTGGACAATGTGGGGTAGGGATTAGTACACTATTCAGAGAAGACTCTCTTATTCTACTAATATATCTGTTGTAATTGCATCAAATTAAGAATAGTCTCCTCACCAAGATACTTATGTGAGTTGAAGTAGTAAGAGAAAGAGGCTGAAGAACTGAACAAGTCTCCCATAGTTACAAGTAAAGGAGAAATAGACTCTACCAGGCTTTCCTAATCCTCCCTTCACTTCTGACATTAGAGATAGACTGACTTTAATAAAAATTGCAATCCAGCCTTGTTTGGGCTCAATTGCTGATTGGATAAAGAATAGAAAAACATTTTCTGGGACAAAAATAATATTAACTCAACTGTTTCTTATTTTCACTCATATTGGACATATAGTAAAAGTTACAAGGCATTTGGAAAGCAGGAGAACATGACCAATAAAGAAAGAGAAAACAGAGGCAGCATAAACTCCTCACCAGTTGATGCAGACACAGAGATCAATGGACACTCTAAATGAGGAACACAAGACACACATAAGAAAGGGATATAGGCAACAAAGACATCCTTATATAAAGACAGCTAATGCCTCAGAAGGAAAGTAGAGATGGAGAGAGCCATAAAAATATCACTGATCAGAGTGAGAAAGGATCAGGTACGAACAGTCCAGTGTTGACTAAGGGTCCTGTGAAACTGAGTAGACTATGGAAAGGTCAAAATCACTGAAGTGTTATTTCGGGATGAGAAGGGCCCATTTTGTCCCTGACAGTTCCATTCTTCTGTCCTTAGAGGTATTCCATTCCGTACATTTGCATGAACATATCCATACATATAGAAATCACATCGCTTGCTATGTTTACCACTGTGTGATTTTTACGTAAATGGCATTATACTCTGTTCTGCATATATTTCTACAGCTTTACTTTTTACCATTTATAAGAAAATCCATTCTGAAAATAAAAGAATCCTTTGTAATGCAGCTCAGAATGCTTTAAGTTCAATTCAAACCAAGAAAACATTAAAATATTTACCTTGAAGTTTTCTAGAAAGTTCAAGCTTTTCCTGTTCCAGCCGTTTAATTCTTCTTTCATAAGCTTCCGTTGCTAAGTTATTATCTAGAGTCCTCTGGACATTAACATCAAGATCCAGTGAGGTGGGACCTGCTGTGACTCTTAAACAGCTCCGATCCGAAAGAACACTGAGTGAAAAAAAAAGGGGGGGGAAGGTTTGTACTCCAATAAAGTTTGAGAATTTTAAACTTCTTTATACAAGAGATAGATGTGAATATCTACAGTAAAACATCTAGAATCCCACAGAATGACTATAAACTTTTTCAGCAAATTACCATAAATTATTTGTAGAAGTATTTTTAAATAAGAACTTATATCACCAAATTATCTCTAAGTTTAAAACTCCATAAATTATAAAATGAAGTTTACAAAGTGTTAATAGTTTAAAACAATCTGACATGTTTACTGAAACAGTAGTCAAAACTATCAGTATGTGTCCATTAACAGAATTTGAAATACAAAACTTTAAGATGAGTTGCTTTTCTGACTGCATAATAAAGATAGTTCAGATGATGGACATTCATCAGTGAGTCACCTCTAGACAAAGAATCGTAGGCAATCAATAATAGCTGAGAGACAAAGAATTAGTCCTTCTGAGAGATGAGCTGCCTAATTGTTGATCTAATATCAAGTAGTCAGCCTGAATCACATGCACACAAGCAACACTGAATAAACTCAGAAAGGGGTGTGTGCGCGTGCATGCGTGCGTGCGTGCGTGCGTGCGTGCGTGCGTGCGTGCGTCCGTGCGGGTGTGTGGGAGTGTGGGTGTGTAAAAACAGTAATAATCAAGGAAAAAGAGGTCATTAATTTGAGAGGCAGTGGGGGAGGTGGACATGATCGGAGTTGGAAGAAGTAGACATGAGAAGAATTGGAAAAAGAAAGGGAAGGGGGGAGGGCAGAACATAATGATGTAATTGTATTTAAATTTTTAAAATTAATAAATACATAAAATTCTTGCCAACAGTTTAAATTTTAGCAACAGGGACAGAAATAAAAGTATATAAAATATTCACTACATTAGAAAGCATTAGCTTCTAAAGACAAAATATGAAACAAGAAAGAGAGAAAAGTCCTAAGAAGGAGAAGATAGAAATTTAGATGAGTAATTATAACAGCTGTGCTTGTGCAATAGTTAAGGTAGTGTAGGATGAAGACCACTGAAGGAACAAAAGCCTGGGCATCCCAAGACACAAGCCTTAGTGGAAGCCTGTGTAAATGCAACATGGCAAACAGCTGGGAGAGCAGCTGGGAGAGCAGCTGGGAGAGCAGCTGGGAGGGCATAGAGAAAAGACAGAAAATAGTGGCAGGCACTTGCAGCTTTGTCTACAGCTGGTGCCAATCTTCAAGGATGAAGAAGCAAAACCATCAGCTGAGGATGAGGGTGACCACAGGTTGCAAGGTAAGAATGAAGTGTGAAATGGTTTCCTTGGTATATACAGGGCAGAACAAACCAGGGTGATTCCATATGTATGTCATATGGTATATGGTACTTAAACCTCTGAATCTCACTCAATTTAAAGTTAGCCTGGTTGTTAAGAACCATCTGTTTGTTCCAGCAGTTTGAACTGCTTAGATTTTTAAAAAGAATATTCACTCAACAAGAAAAGTCCAGCAGCTGAGAGACTGACATGGCATACAGGAAGTGATTGTCGTGATTCTTATGTAACTAGGAAGGGAGAACCAGAGGACAGAAACTGAGTGAAGAGCAGAGAGTGATGTGAACAATGGTACATGACAGAAGAGAAGATTCTTTATGTGCCTTGGTCTGGCTCTTGCCCTATTCTCAACAGATTCAACTCTTGAACCATGTGTCCTTGTCTTTTCCCTCCAGACAGTTGGCTCTTAAGTAGTCTGTTGTATTGATAATAGCAAAATAGGCTTATCACTTATTTTCCACATTCAATTTCAAATTCAAATTCAGCGCTATGATGGAACTACAACCACATTATACTATTTTCAAGCTTCAATTTACTTTTGAATAAATTACCCAAATTATATTGACTTTTGAAACTTACCAGCTACTAGTATACGTAAAACCAACAAATGGTAGATGATGGCCAGAAAATGCAGTATGTGTTGGTGGAGGCATTGTTTCCTAGGAGAAAATAAGAAGAATACTAATCTAGTAAGAAATCTATAGTTATGACCCTATTAATTTTAACTGTCAATGGGGAAAAGCAACTATTCAATTTAGACACAGTTTGGTAAATATGTACAAGGATACAAAATACAGACTCTGAGCACTGCTACTACAAAACTCTAATAAACAATATAAGAGTTAAAGGCAAAATTAAGAATGAAATTATAGACATTATTTGTGTAGTTTGTATCTGAAAATTTGTCTAACTTTTTTGGTTTTTTTTGAGAGACACGGCCTCACTATGTAGCCCAGATCTTCCTATGTCAGCCTCTCCAGTGCTGAAATTATACGCATGTTTCATCACAAACAGTTTAGAAGCTAAATTTATTTGGAAAATAGTGGTCCCTGAAGATGTGTGTAGAGCAGAGAGGATGAGCACTGTCCTTTGCTCCTCGGGCTGAGACTGAACAGAAGGTGTTCCTCTTTTCTCACACTGAAAGCAAATACCCTTGGCATAAACACTTTTATGCCTTTATGATAGTATCTCTGTATAAAATAGCTCCCAAAAGTGCTGTGTGATAACTGCTTTTTTTTTTTTTTTAATTTCAAGACAGGATCTTGCTCTATGTAGCCCAAGCTAGCCATGAATTCATGATCCTTTCCCATCATACGTCCAAGGGGTAGTATTACAGGTGTGTGAAACCACTGGCTGCCTCCCAATGGTGCAAAGTAAAAGGTAATCATGTGCCTTTACAGAGAAAACACGTGTCAGATAAACTCTGTTTAGGAGTTGTTATAACGCCAGTATAGTCATGAGTTTAATGTTAAGGAATCATAGGTGTTGGGAGCCAGCTCCTAGCAGAAAGCGACTATCATCTTTGCAGCCATCTTGGGCCATATATTTGCAGGTTGATACTTTTCCACCCTTTTGTTTTTCTTGCATGATATTTTTTTGCAAGCAGCCCACAACAGCTGAGCACACTCTGATAACATCTTGTTTTTCTCAGACATATCCTGGACTTGCTGTTTAGTGCCCTCAGCTGCAGGGTACTCGTGGTTAAGTGTCTCCGGCTGCACTCCCCTGCTAGTGCTTATATACCCATGATTGCCTTTCAATAAACGAGACTTGATCAGACAACTGTCTTGTCTCCATTCTTCGCATCTCTTTCCCCTCCATCCCCACTCTCTTCCTTGCAGATCCCATTGACTGACCCGCGGGCCGGGCCACATAGGTATATATTATTATATAAAGTATCTGTAAGTACATATAAAAGGGTTTTATATTCAGTTGTTGAGAACGTAACCACAAGCTAACTTTCTGTTTCAAGTCTTGAGATTATAATTACATTTCTCCCTTTCCTTTTCTTTGCCCCCTCCAATCCCTCTCTATCCCTCCACACTCCTCTTCAAATTCAGTAACCTTGCATTTCCACACATCAGTGGTCAATGTCAACTAACTTGGTGTTCACCATAACTTTATAAAATATAACTACTGTGAATAATTAAAATCAACTGTATATTCACTTAACTTGGAATGACTCAGAATTTCTGTCAAAAGTGACTAAGATTTTAAAAAATGGTGAGGAAAACCCATCTAATTACTTCTTGTGATGCTTAAATAGTTTAACAGCTTTCTATTAATCTTGAACATAGTACTTAATAGTAAAAGGAAATATAAAATTAATATAAAGTATTAAACTAAAACCAAGATATAAATTACTAAATAACAGCATAAAAATAAAACTAGAAAAAATCCAAAATTTTAGTTTTATACACTTAAATTTTAATCTATGTAACCCAGCAATTGAGAGCAGAATTGATACAATACACTGGCCCTGATACAGTCCACAAGCTAAAGGTACGTGACTGTTTGCCTCAAGCTACTTGCTCTGCCATTTGCCTGAGGCAGAGACATAACCTTAGGTAAGGAAGGCTATGAACTGACTCTCCACACTCCTTCCTACCAAGTTGCTACTTTAGTGGTAACAGTGTGGGTGCTGGGTTAGAGCTTTCCCATCACGTTTGCCCCATCTAGCAGCAAGGTGTCAGGCTTTTGCTCTATCTCATGTGATGTCATGAGAGGTAGGGGGTGAGGTGTGCTCAGTAGTTTTTCATGAATAAATACTTCTTTATTTCCTTTTGGTTATATCAAGCTCTAAAATGTTTTTGCTGATTTGTTTCCAATTTTAAGGCTGACTTTAAGGAAAGGTTTGTCATCTCCTTCACTTTGAACTCATAAAATATACTTTTTAAAGCATCCAATCTTGTCTTCTTAGGAAATGTACTGACACAATTATCTAAGGAACAGATCTTGAATTTTGCTTTTGGTCATGGGTGATTATGTTGAATTCACTTAAGTCTTAATTTTTTGATACATGACAGAATAAAGCACTGGAAGTCATAAATACTATGAGACTGATAAAAGAAAAATAATCCTGGCATCAGACTAATAAATAAAAATGTTCCTTTATAACTATACTTAAAAGAACCAACAGAACAAGCTATCTTCATAATGTCATACTCACAGAATTTTTTAAACAGTCGTCATCCACATCAAAATTTGATGTATCTGTTGGGCTACTAACTTCTGGAATGTAAGGTGCTTCACAGTTTCGAATATTATCCCAATCAATTCCACTGAAAAACGGATGTTTCTTAAAGTCTTCTATTCCATTTTGGCCAAGTCGATGCTCTCTACTACAAATGAGTCTTCGAATAAGGTCTTTAGCATTTTCTGACACATCAGTCACTTGGGTTGGAAACTGAAATCTCTCCTACACAGACAATGATATAAGGTGTGTAAACACAAACCAGTAGTTATCTTACAGAATGTGGTAGATTTATTTAAATGCACTTCCTTCTGAAAAGTGTCTAGTAAGTGATGACAAAGCAGTGATACTGTAGGGAGACACAGGAATGATGGATGTAAATCCTTTTCCTAAGGGAATTTTTAATTCTCTAAGTTACTTCATAACAGATGAACAACAGAAAGAGAAGGTCAGATGCTATACAGCAGTGGTTCTCAACCTGGGGTTGCAACACCTTTAGGGATCACATATCAGATACCCTGCATATCAGATATTTACATTAAAATTCATAAAAGTATTAAAATTATAGTTATGAAGTACCAACAAAATAATTTTATGGCTGGGTCATATGGTTGAGTTACCACAACATGAAGGACTGTATTAAAGGGTTGCAGTATGAGAAAAGTCAAGAACCATTGCTCTAGAATGTTAAGTTGCTGCTAAACTCGGGTGGATCTGATTACAAGTAGCAGAATTTAACTCAGTAGTTCCTAAGTAGATTACTGATAATGTTCAGATACAACATAAAATAACAGATAATCATTAAACAATTAAAAAGTTTAACATGTATCTGGCATTATTCAAAGTGATTTACTTATTTAACCCATTTGATCCTCGTAATAATCACACTGGGTGGGAACTGCTAGTATGACAGTCTTGTAGAGGAGGACACTGGGAGAGTCATTTTCTCAATGCCATACAACTAATGACAGGAAAGGGACCTGAACTGAACTCTCTCCAGACCTGTGCTGTTCAGCAGCACACTACACTGAAGTGACATCCTTCTGAATGGTGCTGTGCCACTGACATACTGCAAACTTCTCCCTAGCTTCCAGCTCTTCATAACTACTTACTGCTCTATACTGTGACTATAGCTACAGCTCAGAAGACACACAGTCTCTAAAATTGATTTATATGTAGAAAAAACTAATCATGTTTGCATCATGAGAACCAATTAAAAGTAACAGGTTATCCTATTCTGGGGACATTCAGACTCCCATTGAGAACGTTTGTAACTGTTTACAATTTCTGAAACTGGACAGTTACTCTTCTTTTGTACTGTTTACTTTGTTTCACTTAGCGCTATATTACTAGAGGCTTGTAATCTTGTTCTGGCTGTGTATGTGAACTGCAGCCAGTGTTTTGTATCATTGACACTGGAACAGATACCCTCTATACACTGTTGCTCTAGATATCCCGGCCAGGCTGACATCCAGGCTGACCTTGCTCCATCAAAAGCTCTGATCATGATTTTAAGACACAAGATGTACAGCTGTTAACTTTGTGAAAGGAAGTCACAACTTGTAGTCCTGTCAACAAAATCCGAGGAGTACTCATGAGGCAGCATTTATTAGAGCACAGATGTTTCTTTTTGTACTTGCTACATTGACAGAAGAATCTCAGTAAAACAAAACAAAACTGATTGGTGTGTATGACTATAGGTGTGTAGGGGTGTGTGCGAGTGCCAAGCTGCCCATGTGAAGGTCAGGGAACAAGTCTGTGGAGTCAGTTTCCTCCTTCCATCTTTCTGTGCATTTCAGGGATTAAACTGAGGTCAGAAGTCATGTACAGCAAGCACTGTAGCTACAGAGTCATCTTCTGAAGCCATTTTTATTTCTATTCACACACTTCATTCACTGTTAATGATGCTGAGAATTTGTGTATGCATGCTTGTCATGATTGTACACATTATATAGTTAAAACTGATGGGAAAAAACTAGCCACTTTTAAACTCTATTATTCAACTATATAGACCATAGACTAAGTTTCTATTTAGGAGCACTTATAAACAAAATATAGTAAAAAGTTAAAACTAATTATTATGATTATGATTAGATTATGATTAAGAATGATTATCCTCTACTAATCAAAAAATATGAGTTTTCATTGTTTTGAAAAAAGTATTTTCTCTTTACTATCACATTACTGTATTTACTGTAAAAATTGTAAAAAACAATATACTAACTTTGTGATTCATAATTTTTCCATATGTCTCCACCAGCGATTCTGCATAGAATGGCGTTTCTCCATAAAGCATCTCATACATACAGACCCCCAGAGACCACCAGTCACACTCTGGTCCATATCTGCCTTTTCCGTCTTCCATAGCCTGGAGGATTTCCGGAGAGATATAATCTGGAGTTCCAACTGCCACTGAGGACTGGACCTATAAAGTTCAAATTTTTATTAATATATTTAAAATAATTTTAACTTAAAAATAGGTACTTGATATATACAATACATACAAAGTATTATAACAAGACATTTCTATCATCTGTATTTAGTCTCCTGATTTACAGAATAATTTTATATGGCCTTTATATTAATAGTCTTCATTACTCATAATATCATAGAACCTTTACTATAGCTGAATCCATATAGAGAAACAATATTATTTGAGTCATTAACAATAAAATGAATGCTTCACTTACAGCATTATTATTGTTTAATTTTGTTTTGGTAGTCAGAGACAAGTTCTTGCTTATAGCTGAGGCTAGCCTCAAACTCACAATCCTCCTGACTTGACTTCCCAAATGCTGAAATGCACTACAATATCAGCTTTCTTACTGTTTTTTAAATTATGTATCTATATAACTAATCAATCAAAACATGTATGTATGTATGTATGTATGTATGTATGTATGTATGTATCACAGTAGGACTAAAAATTTCCAGTTAGATATGGATAGGAAAAACTCATTAAGACCAACAATGAAAATAATTTTACATCCCTAAGTATAAGTCTAAGAAAATTGAAGGTTGATTAGTTACTGTACATTAAGTTCTAAGTTGTACCAGGCATGATGGTACACACTTTAAACTAGCATTGAGATGGATCTCTGCTTTTGTGGCCAGCCTGGTCTACAAAGCAAGTTACAGGCCAGCCAAGGATACTATACAGGAAGACCTTTTCTTAGAAAACAAACAAACAAACAAACAAACAAAACAAAACAGAAAAAATATAGACTTTAAACCAAACTTTTTAATTTAAAAAATTTGAAAATATAATTAAGAAATGAGGTAGAAGGTTGGTGGGCCCCTCCAGAATGCACCAGAGACCTGGGAGGTGAGAGACTCTCAGAATTCAAAGGGAGGGACCTTAAATGAAATGCCCAACAGTAGGGAGAGGAAACTTATAGAGCCCACCTCCAGCAGGAAGACAGGACATCAAATGAGGGAAGAGGGTTGCATCCCACAGTCAAATCTCTGACTCGTAAGTGTTCCTGTCTGAGAGAACTGCAGGGATGGAAATGGAGAGGAGCCTAAGAATAACAAGGTCCAGCAACAGGCCCAAAGTGGGATCCAGCTCAAGGGGAGGCCCCAAGGCCTGACACTATTACTGAGGCTACAGAGTGCTCACAAAAAGGGGCCTATCATGACCACACTCTGGAAGACCCAACAAGCAGCTGAAAGAGTCAGATGTAGATATTTGCACCCAGCCAGAGGACAGAAGCTGCTGACCCTGAGGCTGAATTAGGGAAAGGCTGGAAGAAGCTGAGGAGGAGGAAGAGGGCAACCCTGTAGGAGGACCAGCAGTCTTAATTAACCTGGACCACAGAGATCTCTCAGACACTGGACCACCAACCAGGCAGCACACACCAGCTGATATGAGGCCCCAACACATACACAGCAGAGGACTGCCGGGTCTGGGTTCAGTTAGCAAAGATGCACCTAACCCTCAAGAGACTGGAGGCCCCAGGGAGTTTAGAGGTCTAGTTGAGTAGGGGTAGGGGATGGGGACATCTTCATGGGAACAAGGGGTGGGAAGGAGATATGGGATATGTAACAGTCAGAGGTTAGATGGGGGTGAGGTGGGGAATAAAATCTGGAGTATAAATAAATAAATAATGACAAAAAAGGAAATAGCTTAAAAGGAAAATTACAAATTAATAAATTATCAACTTATTTTTAGCATCTGGAAGAACTAGCTACACTATTTTCCACAGTCACTACCCTATTTTATACTCCTAACAGTGTCCAGAAAACCTAAATTATCTGTGGATAACACTTGCTGTTTGCTGTTTCTGGCTGGCAGCAGCTCTCCTTCTGGGCAGAAGATGCTCTCACAGTGGGGTCACAGGCTCTGGACTTGCCTTTCTCTAATGAGAGGTTTTACTGAGTGTCTTTCATGTGCCTATTCCCATTTGTAAACCTGCGGGAAATTCCTCTTATTCTTCACTGGGACTGGTTTTTTGTTGCTGAGCTTGGAACAAAGCTCTGGGAAAGGTCTGCACCTCACCCTGTGCCTCCAAGGTAACGGGTAGGTTAGAGTGTTGCAGGTCAGGACCCCACTAGACCCTGTAGCTATTCTTAACATATTCTTAGCATGTAATCAGAGAAGTGACTGGCAGATACTGTTGCAGTTCTGTATGCTGTCTTTTCATTCTGCCACTGTGTCATCTGATACATACACAACAGGTTTTTGAGGAGGATATAATTTACCATTATGGGATACAGGGGTTGTGATTCTGAGTTATCCTCAAATCCAATCATAAATACTGTCCAATACTTTTTTTTGGGGGGGAGGGGTTGACATAGTTCTTTGGCCTATTTTAAATTAATTTCTATATGTGGTATAAAGTAAAATAAGTTGATTATGTTGATTGGGAATGTAGTGAGAAAAAGTGATTAACTTATAGTTAAGTAAACTATAAATATTTTTTTAAATAACAAAAAAGAGGCATTAAAATATTTAAAATAAAATTTGTTACCTTCCAAGGCTAGAGTGAGAAAGCTAAACGTGAACTGCACAGCAGGAAGCAGGAGAGAAAAAGGGCAAAAAACAAGCAAAACCTACATGAACAGCACACAGCACTGGCCTGAGTCACACAACCTAAGAGTGGATTAAATCACCTGTTAAAGGACTTAAGAGATTTAACACTGAGAAAGAAGTAAAACAAAATGAATAAATGAGAGAAAAATCAGTTAAATAATTTACTTAAGCAAGATAAAAACAGAATGGAAGCACACAGTTGAAAGTAATGGATGAAAAGATGAATTACACATAAATTAAACAGAAACTTAAAGCAGTAATAGAAATATTAGCCAAATTAAGATTATTTTAATTTATCAGTATAATTCAAAAGAAACTATACTGGGAAAAGTAGTATTTCATCAAATAGTAAGTTACAAAGGAGATGTGTAAAGTACTGATAATATAAAGGAAAAATTAACAAATCTACCATATTAAGGATTTTTAAATAATGGATAACAAAGAAAATCCTTAATAATATAAAATACAAATGCGGGCTGGAGAGTTGGCTCAGAGGTTAAGAGCACAGACTGCTCTTCAAGAGGTCATGAGTTCAATTCCCAGCAACCACATGGTGGCTCACAACCATCTATAATGAAATCTGGTGCCCTCTTATGGCCTGCAGGTGTACAAACAGGCAGAACACTGTATACATAATAAATAAATAAATCTTTAAAAAAATAAATAAATAAAATAAAATAAAATACAAATGCAAAATCAGTTTTATATTATAGATTTGTATAGAACCCTGGTACTAAAAATTAGAGAAAATGTATTCTCTTTAAACAAATATGGAATACACAAGAAGTTGTCTGTTAAAAATTATAAAAGTAAATTTCAACAAATTCTCAAAAAATGTAACAAAATAAGACAGGACTATTTTCTGATAACATAAAACCAGAAGTATATCACCAAATTAATAACATACTATGAATAGTTAAAAGGTACACCTCAGCTAGGCCTGGTGGCACAGGTTAGGTAATTCCAGCTACTCAGAAGGCTGAGAATGAAGGATCATACGTTCAAAGACAGCCTAGATTGCTTAGTATAGTCTTCTATTATAATATGGGAAGCAGAGACAGAGAGTTCCCAGAAGCTGGAGCAGCTTGATGTACACAGTGGTGGACAAGAAGTTCTCTAAGGTGGAAAGTGAGGACCTAGTGTCCTTTGACCTCCACATGCACCTACATTCACACATCAAAATGCAGCACATATACATACACACTTGCACCCCCACACACCATAGATATATACAAATAAAAAGCAATAAAACTTGAGAATATATACTTTAAAATGGAACATGAATTTAAGAATTTAATCAGCAAATGCTAAGCAAATAGGAACTCAAAACTATTGTCACCTAGAGTCTTTCTGAAAAAACAAAGTTCATTTGCTGAATACTGTCCCTCAGAACAAGAATATAAATAGAAAAAACATACAAAGAAAGATGGAATTATGTTTTCTTTTTCTATATAAAACTTACCTTATTTATCGCTCTAAAAACTTAGGAACATTTCAAGTAAAATAATAGGCATCAGCCAAAAAAGATACAAGACTCTTAAAAGTGCTATTCTCAAACTAACTATTTATTGCAAGCAGATAAATAACACTATGAGCAAGCCTTATTATGTGCAGGCATAGCCAAAGCTTTGTAGAAGGAGGTGGAACACACAGAGATGGATAGCTGGGCAGACAGTCAGTGCAAGCAGAGGTCTCTAGAACATAGAAGACATGGAAATAGAATAAATTCATAATTTATGTTTATTTACCGTTCCATCTTCCATCAGCTTCAGACAAGAACCAAAATCTGCTAAACGAATATGTCCATTCACATCCATCAATATATTGTCAGGTTTGATGTCTCTGAAAAAGATAAATACATTTAACTTTTAGATGGAAAATAATCAGATAAATTTAACATGAGAAAGTTGAACTACCTTTTAAAAAATATTCTATGAGAGGCAATTTGAGTTCAAGGCCAGCCTGGTCCTCAGAGTAAGTTCCAGGACAGCTAGGTTCTACCCTCGCCTCCTGAAAAAAAAAAGAACTTTAAGAGGCTAGAGAAATGGCTCAGTAGTTAAGAGCAATGGCTGCTCTTCCAGAGATCTCAAGTTCAATTCCCAGCAACCACATGGTGGCTCACAACCATCTGTAATGGGATCTGATTACCTCTTCTGGTGTGCATGAAGACAATGCAAACACATATACATTTACACATATGTGTTTATGTATATACATACATGTGTGTATAGTAAATAAATCTTTTAAAAAATATCCTAAGAAAAATAAGTTTTACAGGTTCCATCCTAGCTGTGATTCATTGTAAAGCTTTCTAAAGCAATTTATTGTTTCAGTAATTCCAGGACATAAAAAATATTTTGGTAATTTTCATTCTGGAAATACTTTTGGGAATGAAAGCACTCTCTACTGAGAGGATGGTCACATAGGCATGTCACTGCACACTGTCACTGCACACTATAGTACCTGCACTTCTCTCATATGTGCTTCAATTTCACACTGCAGAGGAAAGTAAGAGCCCCTATAGACATGATAATGGAGCCTTGTGGAGAAGAGTGTATTATAAATTTCATTTCTTTAAACATTCTTAACTTACCCACATAACTTCTGCTTCTACTAGAATGTATTACAGTGGTTTTGATATTTTCTAATAAAATGTATATTTTATCCACTTCTCAAATTACAATGTAGCTGATGAAATCGGAAATCTCTATGGTGTATTTGTAGTTCCATTTCTAGTATGTTCCCTTGTATCACTGTTATTTTTGCCATTGTTGTTTGGTTGATTTACACGCTGAGGCAGAACTTCACTCTGAAGCCTATGATAACCTCAGACTACGTAACCTAGACTGGTTGGAACTCCTGGTAATTCTCTTGCTGCAGACTTCAGTGTGCTGAAATTATAGGTGTGAACTACTCCATTTTTTATAAGATTACCATACAGTACCTAAGTGTGAACTACAATATCCAGCTACTCCATTTTTTATAAGATTACCATATAGTACCTAAGTGCTTGGCATCCATCCTACTACCCAGGTGGGCACAATCATTACCCTGTCTACAGAGAAGGAAGCTAAACCACACTGAGTTTACACTAAAGGCCATGGTCAGGATTTACAGCCAGGCAGTCTACCTCCAGGCTCCATATTCTATACTACTTATCAACATTCAAACTAGGGATCTGTCTTCAGTGACAATGCGCCAGTGATTAAAACAGTGGCTTTTAATAAAGTATTTGGTTTTATTGATTTTTAACATTTGCCTATTAATCTCCCCTTCTGTCTGTATCCACGTTACGTAACTTCATTTTACCTTTTTCGTCTCTTTAACTAAAGCTAATTTTGCTTTCTTTCCCAGCTTCCTGAGCTAGAGACTTAACTCATTTTTCACCTCATTCTTTTTCAATTATTTCCATTTAAGCCTGGAGATTTTCTGATATAGAACACTTTTATTTTCTCTTCATTATAAATATTTTTAAAATTTTCCATTGTGATCTCTGTAAGGCACAGCTTTACAAATACAGTTTCAAGCTAACTGCCTGTTATCTCAGCACAATGGAAAATCAGAAGTTTAAGGTCTTCTGGGCTACAGGAGAGAAAGAATAATTATTAAACAAGGCTTCCCCTAATGTTTTAGAAAAGAAATTGTCTTGATTCATATCACTATTCATCTTTAGGGTCTCCACTAAAATTGTCATTTTTAAACCAAGTGTTACTGCTTGGTTGGTTAAGATTTATCTCTCTTCTACCCAGAAAAAGCTATGGAGGTCCACAGCACATCTACTCTCCTCCCCACTGGGCCTGTGGCACCCAGTACAATGTGCTGTGCACAACAGGGGCTATGCTAATAATTTCATAAATTCAAAATCAACAATGTCCTTCATCTGGATGTCTCGGCATATGAGAGGCTTCTTACAATGATAATAATCAGCACTGTCCTTCCAGTAGCTAACACAAAAGCCTGGAACTGTATGGAACACAGTCATTTCTTCTGAATCAAACAATTTTAATAAGACTTAGTGATTTTATATAACTATCTTTGTATCTGCCAGAATCTCTTTCTATCCCCATGCTGGGAAAGTCTATTCCTTCCACTTTTCCTACTAATGACAACACTGCAACAGACACTCCTTTACAACAATCATAAAGAAAAGATAGTAATCAATGTTTTCATGTAAGTGAGTCACATTTCAGATCATTTTCTTCTGATAAATTCGTAAGTGATTTGGATAAAGACAGATGTATAGGCATACATCAAGCTTTGGAGGAAAATAAACAAGTGAACATGTCATTGCCAGGAAAAAAGTACAGTTACAAAGTCTCAACTTAGTCAACAGTGAAAAAGTACATAGTTTCTCATTCTGTAACAATGACAAGGAGTATCAATCACTTCAACCTTTGTCAAACTTATTTCTTTGATTACTTGTGACATTAAATATTTTATTCATACTCATACATTACTGATATTACATCCTTATTAATTTATACACACACACACACACACACACACACATGTTCTTGCACTCACTCTCTTTGTCTGGGCCCAACTACCTGTTGCATCAATTTCATAAGTGCACAGGTACACTTATATACATACATATATATGTACATATATGCATATATTTACATATATATGTGTACATACAAATAGACATCATATATACATTTGGTGGATGGACCACAAGCATCAAAAGCCACACTATATTTCTTCTCCCAGGCAATTATACCTTTTTAGAGAAAAGTTCTTTATAAAATTATCTTATAAATAAAATGTTACACAAAAGGGGAGTTAAAGAAGGATGTTCAGTTAGTTCAAAACAGTGTTTCATTCTTATAAGCTCATTATACGTTCAAAGCAACAGTTTCACACAGCCTTGCTTTATCGGAGTGCACACCTGTAGCTTCATCTTTGGACCTGACCTAGAATGAATGTTTTGTCTCAAGCATATTTCTCTTCTTAGTGTAATTGTGAAAGCTCATTGTATTCCTGATTATGTAGCCTTTACTTACTATTCTATGAGGAGGGGGCATATCCTATTCTTGATTCTAACTTTATTACAACTTTCTGCAAAACAACCAGAACCATCTCCTTAAACTTTCTTCCTAAAATTATTTGAATTCTATAAAGTCATTAATTCATAAAAGTTCATCTTCATGTTGATCTGCAGGAAATTTGCCCAATGATGCCCAGGAATCATTAGGCTGTGTAACAATGGCAGGGAAGGCATATCAGCAGTGAGAAGCAATCCTGGGATGAAGTGTCTGGGGCTGTGCCTCCAGAGTGCACCCATCGAAGCCATGCAAAACCATGGGCCATCTCCAGGAAACTCACTTGCTCGCCATAGCCTTTATGACTTCTGCCACCTGTTTCTCAGTAAATACATCATCTCTATTGTCCTCTATTCTCTGTCTGTTAGTTATTCCTTTTTTTTTAACCCAAGAAACAATTTCTAGAGTAAAGAACAAATAAGCCTGACCATTTTATTATAAATCTCTGAACTAAGCAGCTTTACATAAAACCCTGGCTTCCTTCAGGAGAAAAGGATGTAATATCAATGATGACTAGATACAGCTCTGCAGTCTGGGACATCAGGTCTACTTCATTAATTTTGTGTATTAATTTTTCTTTCAAAAAAAAGCTACAAATTCCAGATTTTCCTACTTAGTGTAACTTCTAACTTCAGAGTATTAGGCCATTTAACAAAATGACAGAAACCAAATGGAAAGAGGAAAGAGTTGTTGGTGTCTCTGGAAAGTCCACAAATCTCCTCAGCTTTAAGACATCATGGAAGCAAAACTTCTGCACATGTAAGGAACCAGGTCACAAACCTGATTATTCCTGTCACTAATTCACCTCACCAAAAGGGTCCATAGAAGTCTAACTGAATTTTTAAAAGTCACATTTGGGTATGAATTTATGGTTCAATAGTATAGCACTTGTCTTCCGTACTTCTGATTTATGAGAATACTTGAAATATGATTATCTAGTATTTGGTATATATTGAAGAACGGAAAATAGAATCACGGTATTAGCAAAGAAAAGTAAAAGTTAGAGGCAGGTATACAAGCAGAGTGCTTTTTGGCTTAGCAGTAAGTAGCATTTACGAGGTCTCAATCGTGTGACTATAGAGAAGCATCAAGTGGCAGAATCAGAGAGAGCAGGCCTGAGGGGAAAGCAGAGCTCTAACGATCCTCAGCCAGCTTTCAGAGAGTCCATAAGGAGTCTCCTAAGTCCTAAAATACATGAAATTACGTGTCATGATACCAGATACATGGGAATAAACAGCAGAAAGACAAAGCTTTAAAGAAATTACATACAGTTGCCTCTACAGAACAGGTTTAAGAGAGAAGAGCGACTTTCAACATAATCATTTTTTTTACTCACACCGTATTTGTACACGTTATGAAGTATGGTGTGATATTTTGATTTCTACATACATCTCCTTCAGAACTGTAGGCAGCCTTCCCTACATATCCCTTTCTTGGAACAACCCATATGTACTGAATAACTTATGTATAAAGACAAAGGTCAAACAATTTTGACCAAGTTAACAATGACACAGAAGACCACAAACCCTCCAGAATTCCAAGTAGGGCCATCTGAAGCTTTGGCTGTCAATGTCTAACTTATTTTCCATGCAATTATCCTGGTCTTCCAATTCCCTTCCATGGGTGTTAATTCCTAATGAACATCCTTCTGACCAAAATGGGTTCAGTTTCTGCTCCTGGAGAATCCAGTTACTGGGGACAACAAACTACACTTTCTGATATAATGTGCAAAAATGACATCTGGCATCTAGATTCACTCTGAGTCAGTGATGTCTTATAATAAGGTAGCAGCTGGCC